AATATAAATTACTTCGTTATTGTACATAAATTAAATTATAAAAAAATTGAATTAAAAAATTACACAAAAAAGTGAGGAATTTCAAATAGTTAATTTGATACTAATATCGATATATTTTTGTCAAATTTTTATGATATCTTCAAACATATATTTTATTCAAAAATAAAGAAATCATCGCTTTATTAAAATCACATAAAGTCATATTATAACATCAACTGAGATAAAGAATAAAATGAAATATTAAAATCACGATGTATCTCACTGCATTGCGCGAGTATGCTTCTAGTATTAATAAATATATGTTTCTTATATCATTTATCTATTATATAAATTAATTATAAACATTCCATTATATATGTTAAGATTTTTTTTTTACTTTTTAACTTTTATTTAAAAATAAATAAATACTTATTAATATAAATGTAACATCCCAGAATTACATTTGTATATAACCACATATTTCATATATCATGAAATACAAATTTACACATTTGGTCACAATATCTACAAAAGCTACATTACAAAAGTAGCTACCAATTTTTATTCCACATATCTCAGAACAAGACTTGTATATATAACAAGTATTCAGGTACACATATTAACACATGATCCCTAAAATTCATATGCAAGTAATCATAAATTTTCATAATTTTCTTTTCCTCTTATCATCCGACTGTACCCGACCTGTAATACATATTTTAAAACACCAAAAATGAGGGTTAGATCATGAGGTCTGATGAGAAATCTTTTTGATTGCTATTACAGAGTGAAAATTACCAAAACACTTTTATAAAACCTTATTTATATAAGTAACAAATAAACATCATTGTATCAACCAAACCTCTTTTGTCGCATTAAAATGATGAGACGACACCCATTTATCGCATCAATACAATAAAGTAACTCATTTATCGAATTATACATAAACTTGTTGTATCAAATATAAAAATACATCAATCTTATCGCACCTCATTGGTGCGATAACGCAAATATGTTGCATTACTTATACGCGATAACTTCTTTTGTCGCATCTCAATAATGCGATCACACCAACTAATCGCACCTAACATATGCCATAAACACACATTATCGTACCATAATGATGCGATAACAATAACTTGTCGTACCATATAGATGCGATAAACTCAATCATGTCGCATCACAAGAATGCGATAACCAACACTTCAAATTTTATCCCAATTACATCGCATCGGACCCATGCGATAAAATCAACCTCATCGCATCATATAGATGCGATAGCAGAATCCATGATCCAAAGATCATCATTTTTCCAGAATTTTTTGATTATGCCACTGTTATCCCAATATACTCAGCTTCTTATTATGCTACCATTATTACAAAATATACACATCTCCTGATTATGACACCCTTATTACAATCAGATGATAAAATCATATCAAAGTACAAAATTATGCTAAAAATAGTATAAAAACAGTTTCAAAATCTTCCTGCATCTAAAACCTTACGGTTTCGTTAAACACTAAGATAAAAGTTTATAAATAAAACTCACATTGATTCATAGAGATGAAGACAAATAACAACAATTAATCATATTAGAAATCACAGAAATCAAAATCTTCTTCTTCCCCTTTCGGTTCTGTTTTCTCTAGTACTCAAAAACATACAGAAATTTTCTCAACTTTTAACAAACCTAATGAGTTAATTAAAATATCTCATCAAATAATAAACAACACATATAAAGCGGTGGATATGATTAAAAGTATTTAAACACAAAATCAATTTAGCCTCCCTCAAGTTTTCATTATAAATCAAAAACCATCCCAAATTTTTATAACCGATAACCCGATTATCACAATAAACATTACTATTTTTAAAAAATAATAAAACATAAACATTGAGATTTGATATATAAATTGTAATAACTTAAAATATTATTTGAGGTTTTTGAGAATCTTACTTAATTATTTTTTTTATTTTTTTTTGTATAAGGTTGAACCGGTGTTAAGAAATTTTTTCTGTTTTGTTGTTACGGATCTGGACTAACCAGATGAGCTCTGGTCATGAAGAGCTTTTAGCATCCAGAGGACGAAGGCAACAGCCAGAGAAGGCTCTGGACATGAAGAAAGGTTAAGAGCGCTTTATCTAGTTAAAAGAACTTGGGTCTTACAAGTAACCCAGAGGCTTTGCATGTGCTATGTAGAGGCTCTGTATATGTACTATGTATACGAGTGCGCTGCATGAGAAGGAAGCTCTGTACCCGAGCTCTGCCTGTAAGAGCACGATGTGTTGAGAATGGAACTCGTTGGTATTAATTCTGGTTCTTTTCTAGGACTAGTCGCTTTTACATTTTGGCCGTTAGAACTATTTATGGCCTAGAATCGTAGCCGCTATAAAGGAATAAATTGGGTTTTTCAAATGGTATTAATTGCTTTGTAACCGACCAATTAACTGGTAATTAATTTGTAAGGAGGTTACGAAGAGTATATATAGAAGTGATGAGCTAGAGATTGGTTTCCTTACTAGCAAATAGAGGTATTCAAGAGCTAGAAGACGAAAGCAGAGAATCGATACTCAAGAGTTGTGTGTGTGACGTTCATAAGACGAACGTTCGAAGCTATCAATCACTGTGAGTTTACGTGATGTTTTTTTTAAGGGTTGCATATCTGTTTCTGTTAAATTGCAAGTTTGCTGTATTTTATGAATATGTTTGTTGTGTGAACGTGTTTTCTATGATAAAATGTTGTGTGGGAAACTTGGGGGGGGGGGAACTGTACTAAGGATTCAATCATGAAAACAAGCATGTTGTGTGAAGCTTGTTAAGCCGTAAGAGCGAACATGCTGTGTGAAGTTCGCCAGGCAATGCTGTGTGATATAGTCCTTTCCCCCTCATGTTTTCGGTAGTTTATGAAAGGTGTGTAAACCGTTTATTCACTGGGCCTTAGGCTCACCAAACTCTTTTTTTTTTTTAAAAAAACTGCAACCACGTCACTACACTTATGGGAATAGTAGCAAGGGCAAAGAGAGGGCGTAGCGCCAGTCTACGCGTGAAGAGGATAGATTTGAAATGAAGGCTAGTCGTGACTTGTCTTGACAAAGAGTAGTCAGTTGTGGGTTTAAGCAATTGCTGCATGATCAGAAGAAATTTTTAGACTTCCGCTGTGATTTATGTTTAAACTGTTTCAATCCAGTATTTTATGTAAGTTTCCAATTTTTAAGGTTGAAATTTATTAATGATTTGAGGTTAAGATAAAGATCGGATTATGGGTCTTTACAGGTGGTATCAGAGCCTTAGTTCTAAGAGAAATAGGTTATGATTTTATCCTAGACTTAGACAGAATTAAGGTGGAAAAATTGAATTGGACTGTTATTCTTGCTGTTAGTGTGCTTGCTGTAAAGTGATGAATGTGTTGAGGTTAATAGATTTATCGCTGTGAGTTGTAGGAAAATGGTTTATACCAAGCGCACTAAAAGTATCGGAAGACGAGGACGTAGAGGAGTTGGTCTAGGACCAAGAGGAGGAATTGGAGAACGAGGCCAGAGCTGCAGGTGCTCTGGAAGAATAGAGAGGAGAAGCTCTGCAGAGCCAGAGGGCAGAAGCTCTGGTCGAAATGAGAATATTCCAAGGGTTGAGTCCTCTCAACCCACCTCTGTAGGGGATTCCTCTTATGATCCCACAGAGGGATCCTATGAAGAGTACACTCCTCGAATGCCTGATCATACAGACCTCGAGGAGAAAATATCGACTTTGCAAGAAGAGAACGCCCAACTAAGGGCAGAGCTGTTAGTGGCCCAAGAAGCCAAGGACCAGGCCGATTGGTGGTTGAACAACATGCAGACGGAGCACGTGAATTTAGGTGAAGAGTTGAACAAAGTTTCGACTGAGAATATTAAACTCTGGGAAAACAACCACACCATGGCATGGAAGTGTGTAGAGCTGGAATGGGAGAGGATGATTGCTTCACGATCATGGAGGGTGCGATTGGAAGATCATGCTTGCTATTGCCGTAAGGTGGCCACGGGCTACTTGGACTCCACCAAGGAGTACTTCTCACGTTGGGCACAGTAGTTTCGCCAAGGCCCAAACTTGAGCTCTGTATGGAGGCATCACCCAGAGAGCCCTTATGAGGAGTTTGTGAGAATCACAAACTACCCTATGGATATGTCATGAGTAAAAGGATGAGGAGAAAATAGTTAGCATATGAATTGTGTATGGCTAAGTTTTATTGCAATAAGTTGGCAGCCTAGAGCTGGGATATCTCAGTGTTTTCTTTTATTTAGTTTAAACTTGTTAAGTATGAGCCGATTGACATGATTATGGAATGAAAAAAACTTGTATTGGTGTTTAAATTTTGTTGAATGGTTGTGGAATGCTAAGTTGTGTATAAGAATAGTTATTTATAATCTGTTATACGCATATAGTTAAGAAAGAAGGAATGTCTCAACGATCGAGAAGGACTCTATCGGTCGCTCCTGATGCAGAGGAAACACCTCTGGTCGAGGCTACCCCTGCTATACCAGGGGTGATACTAGCCTCTGTTGTGGCTACAAGGACCGCGAGCCCTAGAGGCAGAGGACGAGGCAAAGGATGAGGCAGAGGAAGATCGCAAACAAGACAAAGCGAGCCAGAGCCCTCGGTAGAAGAGAGTTCTGCATCAGGCAGAGGCAGAGACCGAGGTAGGGGTAGAGGTCGCACACGGGCAACGACCACCACCCCTGTGGACCTCATTGCTCAAGAGGTGTCCAGAGCTCTGCAAGCTGCTCTGCCTACTGTTATAGCACAAGTAAGAGAGGCAGAACAGAGGAATGAAAAGGCTAGGGAAGCTAGCAGAGTAAGAGAAGTGGTTAACAACATCAACCATAGAGAGGACCATAGAGAACGGTCAAGAGCTAATAGTCCTGTCAACACTAGCACAAGACAGAGGGGTTGTAGCTACAAAACTTTCTTAGCTTGTAAACCCCAACCATTTCAGGGTGAGCCAAACGCACTTACGGCCTTGAAATGGATAAAGGAGACAAAGATGGCCTTCAAAGTTAGCAAATGTGCAGAGGAAGACAAGGTGACTTATGCTGCTTTTATGATGAAGTATGAAGCCCTATTCTGGTGGGAAAGAAATACCAACCTAAGGGGCGAAGAAGCTGTAGCAAGGATGTCATGGGATGAGTTCAAGGTGCTGTTCAACGAGAAGTTCTGCCCAAGAACTGTTGTAAAACAGTTGGAAGAAGAATTCTTGAGGTTAGAACAAGGAAGCTTAACGGTCAGGGAGTATATGACCAGCTTCACAGAGAAGGCTAGATTCTCAGAGCACTATGTCTCTACTAAGGAGAGACGGGTAGAGCGTTTCATATGGGGATTGAAAACATCCATCAGAGAGTTTGTCTTAACCATGAAACCAACTACTTTCTAAGAGGTTGCGAATGCAGTCGAAGTTAGAGAAAATGAAATCGTCCGCCAAGAATCCGAGCGGGGCCAGTTGAAGAGGAAATGGGAGGGTTCAAACAACGAAGCCCGAAGACAAAAAGCTGGGAACTCGGAAAGGAAGGTATGGCAAGGACAATCGGGCAAACCATGTCCTAAATGCAACCTTGTGCATAAAGGAGAATGCCTAGTTAAGCCCAGGGTCTGCTACCGGTGTGGGAAGGCTGGACACTTGTCCCAAGACTGCAGAATGGAACGAAGAGAGAGATTATGCTACATGTGCAAGTCACCCAATCATGTGCAAGCAGACTGCCCACAAAGGAAGAAGGATGTTACGGCCATTCAAGGAGGAAGCAGACGTGAGAAAGGAGATGAACGACGACTAGAAACACCAAGACCAAAAGGGAGGGTGTTCCAAATGACTACAACCGAGGTTGAGGAAACCCCAAATGTGTAACAGGTACCTTCCTGGTTAATTTTGTACATGCAAAAGTGTTGTTCGATTCTGGTGCGAATAAATCATTTGTATCCACTACTTTCTGCCACAACTTGAATAAAGTAGCTAAGCCTCTAAGTTCAGCATTAGAAGTAGAAACTGCTAATGACAACATGGTAGTGATTAAAGAAGAATATGATGACTGCATTATAGAGGTAGATGGTAGTTTTATTCCACTCAAGCTGCTCCCTATGACATTAGGGGAGTTTGATATAATAATCGGGATGGACTGGTTAGCTGAAAGCCAAGCCAGAATCCTGTGTAATAAGAAGATAATCCAGATTGAGGTACCGGGTAGTGGGAGATTAATAATCTATGGAGATAGAAGGGATAGGAAGGCTAGCATGATCTCCCTACTCAAGGCCAGACGATGTATAAAGAAAGGATGCCAAAGCTATTTGGCATAGGTGATCAACGCTAAGAAGGATAAGAGTGCGATGGAAGATATTAAGGTGGTAAGAGACTTCCCAAAAGTCTTCCCAGATGACCTGACAAGTCTTCCGCCAGAAAGACAGGTGGAGTTTCAGGTTGATCTGGTACCTGGAACTACACCTATTTCCCGCGCACCTTACCGACTTGCACCATCAGAGATGAAAGAACTGATGACTCAGTTGCAAGATCTATTGGACAAGGGTTTCATACGCCCTAGTACATCACCTTGGGGAGCCCCAGGGCTGTTTGTCAAAAAGAAGGATGGTACAATGCGAATGTGCATTGACTACCGAGAGCTCAACAAGGTGACTATTGTTAGGACTGAGAAATCAGTATTAATTGTATTCGTCTTGAAAGTTTATAAATAGTCTAATTGTAAAAGTCAGCGTGTTTGACTTTCTTAGACTAGTTTGACTTTGACTTTGTATTAATATGTTGACCATATAAATAGATAGGTAATCTTTGTAATTAGTGTGAAAGAGAGCTCAATTGTAATATACATTCATAATTGAGAGTTTGACTGAGCTTATATGAGTTGACTTTTTCTCTCAAGTGTTCTTGATGTTCTGATGATAAATCCATGAATCTGCCATTGATGTGAGCTTAATATGAAGATTGATCAGTGATTGTGGACACACAATTGGTATCAGAGCGGGATGCAAGAAATCAGATTGAAGGAATTGATCAGATAAGTTTTTTTTTAATTTCTGAATTTTTTTTGTTCTTCGTGTTCTTCGTGTTTTTGATTTTTTTCTTCTGTTTGATCCGATTTTCTCATAAAATCTTATGTTTTTGCGTTAAAAATATGATCAAAATGCTCGAAATCGTATTGTGAATCTTTGTTATTCACAAATTTTTGTGATTTGATCAACTTTTATCAAGATTTGATCGGATTTTTGTGGTTTTAAATTTTTTTTCGTGTTCTTGATTTTTTTTAAAATCAGTGTTTTTGATCCAATTTTTTGTCAAATTTTTTTGTTTTTGTGTTTTTGATAGTGTTTGATCTGGTTTTATTTTTTGTTTTCTTTATTTTTTTGTTAATCCGCCCATCTTTCAATTTCAAGACCCAATTGTTTGGCCCAAGTTCTAAGCCCAACCTTGACCGGATAAGAGTCCGGCTACTCTATTCTTTGAGTCGATCAAGAGAAACAGCAAGCTACAAACCGCACACCTCTTCTTAAACGGTGTTTATCTACACCGCACGCTTCTTGATCGGAGTAGAGGTAAACCGAAGGAAGCATCACCGGATTTCTTGAACGGATTTCTAAACCGGATGTTTTGCACAAATCAGGTAAGTCTTCTTGACCGGAGTGTGAGCGGTTTAGGTTTTACCACTTGTCCGGTATTCATGAATACCGATTGATTCTTGCCCGGTTTAAAGTTCTGATTCATTCAGCAGGTATGCAATCTCAAGCGGTTTAGGACTTAGAATTTGTGAATTGAAGAATTTTGAGCGGACTTCTAAACCGCTCAATCAATTTTACCCAGATTCTTGATTGTTTGTAATTTCTTGATTCAATTGGGTAATTTGTTCAATATCTTGTCAAATATTGATTTAGATAGGTGAGGTTTGTTTGACAGGTTTAGTCTCATGTGTTAACAGGTTTATCATTCAAGCTGTCCGGATTAACATTCATCTAAGATTCTTGATTTTGCGAATCTATTTGTTTTGTTACTGTTGGTGTATGAATTTTGGTGTGTTTGTGATTATGTGGACTGTAACAGCAACCTAGACTTCATCTTCCTCAAACATTGATTTCTAGGTCTATGTTAGAGATATCGCAAAGATTGAGCTTGTGCATTGAGTTTGACAGCAACAAACTGTCCATATTAAGTTACATTGTTAGGCTGTCCGGATTGTACTTTCATTTGCGTCTGTGTTAAATYRGATATTACAGGGTCTGTTTAACCAACARCAGGATTTGTTTTGAGGGAACATAGCAAGAATTAAAAGTCTGCTAGTTTTGAGCATGTTAGTCTTGTGTGTTGTCTGATTTAAAGTGCAGCAACAGAAACAGCAACAGCATCTCAACAACAACAGCTTCATTTTTTTTACAGCAACTGTTTAGCAGTTTCTTTTTTAACCTGTTTTTTTAAACTGAACTGAAACAGCAACTCGTTTTGTTTTGTAACAGCAACTACATTGAAGCAGCTACACAGTGTGTAGCAGTTTGTGTTTGTGATTTGTTTATATCCTTGTGACAGTACTTGCTGAGCAACATCCTCGATAAATCTTTGAAGCTGCTTCTGGTTTATCAAGTTTGCATATTTAGTCATATCCAACTTCACGCCAAGTAGATCATGGATTACATCATGTGTCATACTTTCTGCTGCTGCCAATTTAGTCTTTAGCATACATATTTCTTTCTGCCGACTTGATGCTAATGCTTCTTGCTTGCTGTTGCAGAATTCTTTAAAGATTAAGCAGCAGTTTGCTGTTTTACAGATTTTGACAGCAGGTCAACTTGTTATTTGACAGCAAGAAGAGAGAAACAGCAGTCTGTGTTGTTTTGTGACAGCAACTACACAACAGCAACGAGAACAGCAACAGACCTCTGTTCTTGATTTTTGACAGCAACTGCATTGCAACAGCTACAACATACACAACTTTGCTGTTTTAAAACTGTCTAACAGCAGTAACTTCAAAACAGAACAGCAGAAACTAGCATTAACTTTGTTTTGTGCTGTATTTAGACAGTAACAATAAACAACAGGTAGCAACTACATTTTGATAGCAGATAAAACAACAGGTTTGCTGTTTAACAGGTCTTAACAGGTTGGTGTGGAAACTGTTAGTAGAAAGCAAAAGCAGGATCTGGTTTAGTATTAATGCTGTGATCTGTTTAGTAAATTGTTTTAAGTGATTTAAGTGGTTATTTTGTGACCTGTTTTTAGCAGAAAAGAAGCAGCGAAGTTGTTTGAATAAGCAGGTTTGGACAGCAGTCTGTTTAAGTAGCAGTCTGTTAAGGTGACAGATTGAGTTTGCTGTTTTGCGCTGTTTTTGTGCAGTAATAGCTATTTACAGATCTTGATAGCAGCAGACTTGGTTGTTTAAGCAATAACAAGAACAACAACAGCAGCAGATTGCAAGTCTTAGCAACAGATTTGAAACAGCAGCATGTTGATCCAATACAGAGCTCACAACAGTCTGTGCAGATTGTGAAGGTAGTGCAGATTGAAGAAGCAGCAACATTGTAGCACGTTTGGAATTTCAAGTTGAAATCACAGACTTGCATGTTTACAACATAACAGCAGACTGCCGGTTTAAGCAGTAACAGTTTTAACAACAACTGATTCATTTTGTGCTGTGTTGGTGTATAGAAAAGAAGAAGACTGCTTAAAGTCTGTTTAGAGTGTTGTTTAAGAGCTGCTTTGAGATTTTGTATTGCTTACATTCGACTGATTGGTATTTTCACAGGTTTATACAGATTTTGTAGTTACTTAGTACAAACTTGACTGTCAATTTTGGTGCAGGAATCTGTTAAAATCTATTGGTGTGAAGACTGCAGTCGACAGCGGAAAAGAAAGCAGCAGTAGTACTTCAAAGTACACTTTGAAAGTTTTTCAAGCATAGCTAGGATTGGTTTTGGACAGTTTAACAGATTTGAAAGACTGTTGAATTGGTTTTGCTTTCGGGGACTAAGTTCAACTTCACAGAAGCACACAGCATTCAAGTGGATTTTTGAATACACTTCAAAGAGCAGATAGAATATTGTTTTAAAAGATTAATATATGTATTGTAAAGCGTTGATACGGTGTGATTTGGACTTAAAGTCAGATTTTTGGACTTGGATTTTTGTTGGACTGTTTTTAGTTTCTTAGTTTGTCTGTGTTTAGATTTTTCTTTGGATCATTGTACATTTGTGTGTGCATGAGTTTTTCAGTGTTTGTGTTTTTCGGTTTCTTTTTGAGCTTAACTGTTTGTATTTTTTTTATATGATTTCACTGCATAGATCCTTATCTGATCAATCTAATTTTGAAATGGCAGTTGTATCTGAAAACTTCAGAGAGATAATTTTTGCTCTGGAAAAGAGAGTTGAAGGTTATAAGGAGGAAGTGTTTCTAAATGTTTTAAAGAAACATTATAAAG